CTTAAATGGATATTTGTATTGCTTTCAAATATCAAAACAGGTATCCTATACCTCAAAAGGGAAATGAACCTTACTTTTTCTTTTTATACACTCCACCGTCTTGTTATTAATATTGAAGTGCCCTTAAGCAAGAAGCTGACTCCGACGTCAACTCAGTGAAGACTTTCTGCTGTTGACCCCATCAGTGATTTCCATGGGGGGAAGCCAATAAAATTGAATCATACCTCAGGGATCAATAAAGTATAACAATAATTAATTGCCTTTTTTGCCATTTGTATCTCAAATGAAGAATGTTTTTTTTGTTTAAACAAAATGTGTGTGTGTGTGTGTGTGTGTGTGTGTGTGTGTGTGTGTGTGTTACAGGTGAGCAAAGCAGCCTGCATCCTCACCACTCAGCCTCTCATGAGGATCCTCAGGTCCAGGGAGGCGGCTGCCAGCGTCAACATCAAGACGTGGCCAACCATCATTGATACAGGTTCCAGGCTCAAACCAATTGTTATAAGCATGGTGTTGTGTATTTTACTGGCTTTACTACACATCTCTGGATGCACAGTGATTTAGCACAAAAAATGTGAGACTGAAAAAATATTCTCTATATTCTCCTTTTGGCCACAAGGTGTCCTGTTTGCTTTGGGATTCACTTTGTCAAGGGAACTTCATGTAGAGGCTTCTCTATATTTTCTGAAATATGTTTAGTAAACAAGCAGTTATTGCTCAGAATAATTGTGCATTTCCTGGAGGTTGCACGCTAACAGCCTGTATAGATCATGTGTTGCAGTAAAATGTCACATTAACATGGGAAATTATAACCTCCTCCCACTCAACAAAAAACAGTTTTTAGCACATAGTCAACAGGAACACTAACTGCAAAACTGTGCAAATGTGTAATTTATTTTGTCTCATAATGAAATTACAAAAATCTGCTTCTTTCTCCTCCCAGATGATCTCCCCAGGAAGCGGCCTCCACACTTCTATAAACCCCCCACAGCGGAGATGCTGGCCTACCTGGACTTCAGTGTGTCCACCACAGGCATGCTGACTGGAGTCAAAGTAAATTACACTCACAAATTGTTGTAATCATACAAAACACGGTGTAAATCAGTCTAGCCCGATGGATCTTAAACCATATTCTCACGTTAAATCGCTTAAAGGTGAACGTTGTTCTTCGATCGCCTTAAATCTGAGTGTGTTATGCGTTATTATACTTTTTTGCAAATTGCACATGTGTGATGGGAGAATTTGAAGCCTCCAGCTCACATAGACTGTGAATTAACTTTTGAGGAACATGTGGTGTTGAGTAGAAACTTTTAAGATGAAGTATGATTCCATATTCACATATTTTGATTTTTCAATGAGTGAGGAGTAGATGTAATTTCAAGACTGTTCGATGTGGTAACTGACTTTAAAATATGTTCAAAACATTTTGCAGACAAATAGATTTTTAGGTTAAAATTCATGAAGTGAATCTACCTCATGTGACCTCACCCTCCACAATCCTCCTATATTTGGTGCATCTCTGGTCCGCGTCAGTATCGCTGCCTATTCAGCTACTCCACCACCCCGGCATCCACCTGTAGGCTCTGACAGGTGGTTCAACATATTTGCTCATCACTCCCCGTTATATCTATGTAATCATATCTGGGGGAGCCATGTAGTCGGAGTCTAGACGCCTAAGTTGTCTTAGAGAAATGTGTCAGCATCACTGGAGGCAGTAAAAACTCCTAATGCTATCAGAAATACAGTTGTAGGCCAGCTGATGTTGGACACATCATTTATCAATACTATAATTTAGCAGGTTGAATGGATACAGAAAAATACTTATCAGGACATGAATAATAACTTAAAATAGTGAAATAGTAGCAACTGTATTTGCATATAGTAGAATGGTATTCTTTTAAAGAGTGTATATCCATGTCTCATCAGATGTCTCATGCTGCAGTCAGTACTCTGTGCCGCTCCATTAAGCTGCAGTGTGAGCTCTACTCCTCACGACAAATAGCCATCTGCCTGGACCCATACTGCGGCCTGGGCTTCGTCCTGTGGTGCCTCTCCAGGTAAAAGACACACACACATAGAATGAATATCGTATTCAATGTGGCTGTAACCTGTGTATGTGGCGGAGCTGCTATTGTTAATATGTTTTTGCTCCAGTATTTACTCAGGTCACCAGTCCATCCTTATCCCTCCCCTGGAGCTGGAGAGCTCCCTGCCTCTGTGGCTGAGCACGCTCAGTCAGTACAAGATCAGAGACACCTTCTGCTCCTACTCTGTCATGGAGCTGTGCACCAAAGGCCTCGGCACCCAGACAGAGATGCTGAAGGTCAGAGTCACACACACAAACACTGGTACTGGTGTTCCCCTTTAATGTTAACTCACACGAATCAGCTGCTAAGGTGAATAATAAACTCTTGTCTAATCATTTTTTTAAAAAAAATTTCAAATATGTAACAGCGACTCAAAAATGAGTCGGTAATCACTCAAATGACAACAAATAAAGAACTACTCAAGTAACCTTGTACATTTCAGTGCTTGGAGGGGTTTTAATTCATTCTGAGGCGGAATATGTACTTTTGAAAAGGACTAAGTGTTAACAGCCAATAGAAGTTTATACGTAACTCTAATTAATCTGTTTCTTATGATTCTATGCATCTTAATATCTTTGCTTATTCTGTTGACACCCTTTGGATAGAAATGTTCACTAATGCAGAGAGTGCATGTTTGTGTCACAGTCCAGCTTCACGTAAATGGTAAAAGAGTGAATAACCCCATGTCTCCAGGCGCGGGGTCTGAACCTGTCGTGCGTGCGGAGCTGCGTGGTGATAGCGGAGGAGCGGCCCCGTCTCACTCTCACTCAGTCCTTCTCCAAGCTTTTCAAAGACCTTGGCCTGTCGTCGCGCGCCGTCAGCACAGCTTTCGGCTCCAGGGTCAACTTGGCCATCTGCCTACAGGTTGGTTTCATACAGAAACACAGAGTTTATTGTTTTGTGACTTCACACCCCATAGGTTTCCTAATTCAGATCATTGTTTGGTTCTATTTATTGTGTTTTGTTTTGTTGAACTTTTGACTGTTTTACCGTTCGCATGTTTGTAATTGATATTATGCAAAACAATTTACTTAAATCCTGTTTGCACAAAATATTTTTCTATTCCAACCTTTTCTCTTGCTGAAAAAGTTTCGGTACAATTTTTTAAATGTTTATTTGTTTCGTCAGGGCACTGCGGGACCAGACCCCTCCACCGTCTATGTTGACATGAAGTCTCTGCGTCACGACAGGTAAGACTGGAGACTCGGGTCATCAGTACAAGCCGACAAACATCACATGTTGTGAAATAATGAAAACAAACAGAATGAATACACAGGCCATCTTTTGTCTCTCAGGGTGAGACTGGTGGAGCGAGGAGCGCCACAGAGTCTTCCACTCATGGAGTCCGGCACTGTAAGTATTGATTATTGACCAGTGAAACTCATTTGTGCGATGGTCGCACTGGCCACAGACCCAGAGAGGTAATAGAAGTGGTTGTATTAACCCTAAATCTAAAGCTTCCTCTTATGTTCTGTAAGATCCTACCGGGAGTGAGGGTCATCATCGTCAACCCAGAGACCAGAGGCCCGCTGGGAGATTCACATCTTGGAGAGGTGAGAGGGCAGAGGGGATAATGGGATAATTATCTAAATGTTTCCTCTGTGTGATATCCTCTTAAGATTCTGCAGCAAAAGTGACCATGAGTAGTTTGGTGGTTTCAATCTAATCGATTCATTTGACTTGCTCTTTTTTCTATTAGTTGAATTGAATTGCTCACATTTTATCAAACACAGAAATACTCCAGCCTCTCTGCTTCTTTTTAGATCTGGGTGAACAGTCCTCATAGCGCCAGTGGCTACTACACCATCTACGGGGAGGAGAGCCTGCAGGCCGACCATTTCAACACCAGGCTTAGCTTTGGGGAGCCCCAGACTCTGTGGGCCAGGACGGGCTACCTGGGCTTCATCAAGAGGACGGAGCTGCTGGATGCAAGTGGAGGTGAGAGAAGGAAATCTGAGAAATGTTTCTCCCTCAATTTTGCCAATTATGAATTTCTGGTTTCAGCCAATCCAGTGAAGTAATATCACTAAAGAAACATCATCACATTGATGTAAACATGGACTGCAGTTACATAGAGCTTTTAAATAACCACTCAAATAACTTCACATTACAGTTCACACTCATTTACATACTCACACACACACACACACACACACACACACACACACACAGCACTGATATACAGCATCTAGCACTAGTCTATTACTCACACATCACATTCACACACTGACGGAGCAGCCATCAGGGGCAGTTTAGGGTTCAGTGTCCAAGGACACTTCAACATTTGGACCGGTGGAGTCGGGAGTCAAACCATTGACCCTCAGCAGCTTTGCTATTTGATTTGCAACAATATTTACAGAGGCAAAATATAATCATGAATATTAAAGCCATACAGACGAGGGTGTTAATAATATGGCAAACCTACGCTCGTCTGGCCCGTGTTAAAAGACCGTGGATACAGACTGTCTCTGCCTGTAGTTTGTGAGCTAAGGTAGCGTTTAAGGTTATTCTCGACTCAGCTACTTTACTTCATCTTGAATTATGGGTAAGTTTAAGTAATTCTTGGACACTGAGATTCCTTCATATCTTAAATTTCATTCATTATGGTCTTAAAAACAAAAAAATGGAATTTGTTGAAATCTGCAGAAACCCTGCAGTATATATTGTCATATCAACTGTGAGTAATGAAATCCTTTTTTCCTTTTCTGCGTCAGATCGTCATGATGCCTTGTTCGTGGTGGGGTCTCTTGATGAAACGTTGGAGTTAAGGGGGTTGCGTTATCACCCCATCGACATTGAGACGTCTGTGTCCCGAGCCCACCGCAGCATCGCAGAGAGGTGAGGTTCAATCTATTTTTTAAAGTTGCCTTTACACACTTGATATCTACTGAAAAAGACTAGCACTAGACGGAAACTAAATTCAATCAGTGCCTGACACTCTTCCCGCTCCTCAGTGCTGTGTTTACATGGACCAACTTGCTGGTTGTGGTAGCGGAGCTGAGCGGCTCGGAGCAGGAGGCCTTGGACCTGGTGCCCCTCGTCACCAACGTGGTGCTGGAGGAGCACCACCTCATTGTTGGGGTGGTGGTCATCGTGGACCCCGGGGTGATCCCCATCAACTCCAGAGGAGAGAAGCAGAGGATGCACCTGCGAGACTCGTTCTTGGCCGACCAACTGGACCCCATCTATGTGGCCTACAACATGTGAACACCTTTCTTCAACTGATGCAGAAAACTGAGCCAAGCTCCGAGGACAGACGGGAGGGAGAAAGAACCGGGGTGTGTTCAGTAGCAGCCTGGATGTAAAACCTCAGACGCACGTTCAAAACACCAAACAATGTGGGAATGAGAGCACAGTACCAGCAGTGTAATGAGATCGTGCTTCCCTCTCTGAAACTGTTCCTTCTTTGCTTCTACCTGCTCGATGGCTGCAGTCCAGGTTCACTGAGATTCTTTCTCCTCTTAAAGAGTTGATCTTCATCCTCTCTGTGCATCCCACTCCTCCCTCATCGCTCAAATTCACGTTTTTTATAAGACATTTTTAATTAACTTACTTTCATCAAAGAAAGAAATGTTACCCCCCTTCCATTCCTTGGTTTTTAACCTGAAGCATTCATCCCTGTGTGTTTTCATTTTTTAACCCCTCCTGCGTTCTTAAGGGCAGGATGGTGGAACTGGAACTGCTGAGAGGAGCTGGAACTTTCCCCTCTTGCACTTTGAAGTCCTTGCACCTCTGAGTCCACTTCCTGTCTCACTCACCTGCCTAAAGAGGACACCCCCCCCCCCCGCTACAAGAGCAAATCCACATCAGTATTAACAAGTGCCACCAGCGAGTGCAGCCCACATGTTACCTTCCTACAACCAGGAGCACAGTGGCTCTCACCTCTCATCACATACCTGTGTTCGTCAGCGTTCACACAAAATGTTCAAAAACACACACTTGAATCATTTTGTTGTGCGGGAAAAGAAATTGTCTCTTCATAAACACACAAATCAGAACAGTGAGGATGAAACTGATTTTTCAGTGTCAGTAGGAGTTGATCCATTAGATAGTTCTTATGGTTGTGATAGAACTAAAGGAGAAGAATTAAGAAATCTCATTGCATTGCTGGTGTTTAGGTGGAAGTTAATCAGTGTCTGCATGCAGGCCAAAAAACAAACAAACAGACGAGCTCAGCAGTCACAGAGCAGTAGATCAGATGGTTTAGTAGCCTCATGTTTTAGCATCACGTGACGCAAAGCTGAAAAAGAAATAAAAACCCAGATCTTTGAAACACCTTGAAGGTCTTTTAAAAACACCTACACAAGTCATTGACCTTCACAGGTGATTTCCTGTCCTCTCAAAGACTCTTCAGAACACCTGAATGAGTAAATGCATTGTCTGTTCCTCACTGAAGAACATTTTTAACCCTCTTCCCAAGCTGCAGTTTATCAGTTTAACTGATAGTAAAGTCTTGTTTCACATATCGTACAAATTGAACACGGACATGCGTCATTTCTCCATCTGTGTGTGGGGTTAGTTAGCTTGTTTTGATAATTAACCATCTTCTAGTTTGAACTGAAGTGATCTGTTAGCTTTGAGTCTGTCAAAGCAAACAGCATTTTTGTCGATGAATTAAATGTGGATCATCAGAAGGCAAGTCAGTGCCTTTTCTTTACTGCACCATTGTGACATTCACAAAAACAACATATAGAATAAGATCTGGAGAATGAGGACGTACCTCTGCCTTACTACACCTGTGGAATCCAGTACTTCTTACATTTAATCTCACATATCTGGCTGTAATGTTGGAACTTCTCCACCGTTGTTCACATCCTGAATCAAATTCTAGATATTACTCAAAACTCTCATATTGTTTGTTTGGTTTTTTTGTAGAGGAGGGCTTGAGGGGGGTGTCTTGTTCTTTTTTTTTAATTTTGGCTCATGCCCTTTTCATTTCATCATTTAAACCAATTCTCTCTGAATGTCTGCAACACAAAAATATAAGGCAAATTAAAAATGAACAGCAATCAGTAAGCAACTCATGATTTAAATGGCAGAATCCTCCTTAAAGAAGGAAGGCCATGATAAATGAGGGTAATAAGGATGTTGTCTGTATACTGTATCTTAGAGGTCAAATACTGTATTACTGGTGTTAATGTGTACATGGAAATGAACTTTGTAGATCGGAACAAAAAACTTGACTGATCTTTCATACTTGACTGCATTTTTAATTTAACTGTATCACATTGCAAAAGAGAAAAAAACAGTTTCCGATTATTTTGGCAGGAACAATGTGCACTTTCCCAATATCATTTTGTGCGTTTGCTTATGTTTGTGTGTATGTGTGTACAAGAAGGAATGTGTGTGTCCAGTTAAACATTGATATTTAGCTTTTCTGGTGCAACAATGTTTGTCTTTTGTAAGAAAATGATGCCAGAATATTAAACCTTTTTTTTTTCTTCTTTTTTTTATGTCGCCTCCACTGTATTTTTTTTTTTTTTAGTTCTTTTCATCCATAATTGGAATTTTAATATATTTTGTAGGGGTTTCATCATTATTTCCTGATGTAATCTTTTGTTTAAAACTGCACAACTTGTGCAAACAGCTGGTTTGGTTTTCGAAGCAGCTTGGCACCGTACAGCACATCTGTAAACCACTTTTCATTCAGTGACGGACACTGACGACGTGTATGCAAACCAGTATCTGGGACACGTTATATTCATGAATAACAAACTGAAGCTTCTGAGCTACTGTGTGACAATTGCTTTGTTGCTACTGTTTCACTCCGACGAGTTTTAATAAAGTTTTATAATTTCATTTCGCCCTTCAAGCCTTTTCAATAGACATTGGTGCTATTCAACACGGGAAAGTTTGACAGACTTTTTTCCTCCAATGTCATGACAAACAAGGTTTCTTCCTGGATGCCCTTTTTGTGTGAAAAATAAGTCGTTCTTTTCTTCATGCCAACATCTTCTCACTCACCACTCAGTTCTGAAACTTTTATCATCACCATTTTTCATCAGCTCTGAGATCTGATGAAAAATCTCAACGGGCAACTGCACGAGGACAATGCAAGTCGACGTTTTCCATTCGGATTTTTCAGTTTTCCAGTTTTCATGTAGTGAGGAATGGCGTTCGTTTCAAACCTCTGACGTTGTTTCTAAGCACAAAAATGTAAAATGTACATGTGAGGTAATGAGATTAGGATCTTTCACACAAAAGTCACAAAAACTCAAGGGCCCACAATGTATACCTCAACGACTGTCTTGTTCACTATGCATCGTCGAGCTGCAGCAAAGACATTCTGAACTAGTCAATGGTGCGATAACTTGTAACATGTCTTACTTGACAAAAACACTGTCACACTGTCATTGGATGTGTTTCATGTCAAATAAAAAAAGATGCTTTGTCAGAGTTTCAGGTTTTCTTTCTTCTTCGTCTCTGGAAGCTTCAGGCATCAGCTGCTGCAGCATGAAAAAAAGCTTCTTCCCTCCTCCAGGTGTCAGTCTATTTTCTTTTTCTGACAAAAACTGCAATATGCTGCTTAATGACGTGTCTCAGCTCAGTTCCTGTCAGGAGTGACCACAGCTTCCTGTCATTTTGAATCATTCAAACAACTTTCACTCGAACCGCTGACTTGTTTTTTTTAAGAAATAATGGAAACCTGTTTTCATTAGAATGACAGTGGAGCACAGACCTCTGCTACAGTCCCCTCATGAAACCATATCTCAAATCACTGGACACAGATTTTTGTCTGGATCTGCACACACTCATAGATATTCGGTATTCAGGGTAGTTTATCATAAGTCCATTTGTCTGCATGTGAAGGAAACCGTCTCTTGTTCAGCAGAGATGTGTGATGATGACAGACAGGATGTAACAGAGCAGTGTCAGCGTAGCTTTGTGCAGAGCTGAGATCAGTCTGGTGTTCGGTCTGTGTGCAGGAGACGTTAATGCTGTCTGATTTGTCTTCAGCCAACCTGCAAACCTGCTGTTTCATGTTTACACCCCGGACTTGCGAGGAAGTCCACAATGTTCCCCGTGGCTCGACACTCCGACCACATAAAACCTCCCCGCGTCCTGGCTGAAGCCCTGCAGAGGGCCTCCCCATGAGATTGGGATGAAACCTGCACCTGCTTTGAGTTTATATACACAAATGATCACATTCGTGGAGAAGAATCAGCACCTGACAACCATCGGCTGCTCCGCTCTCCAGAACAGATCCTGTCTTCATTGATGTTCCTGTTGTACCAGGTGATCACGTTACATTTCCTCCGGTCGATGAGCTCCACCTCAGCTTCCTGCAGTCTGCTCACCCAAGAGAAGAGCTTTTAAATGGTCACTAATAACCTGCGAGTGTCCAATGAGACATATAATACATGTTGTTAATGAATGTCAAGGCAGAGTCCAGGCCCACTCTGAGGTCAGGGTTGGAGGAGGGATTAATCTTTCTGTGCAAGGGGAGGAGTTAAGAAAGGGAGGATATTTAAGGTCTGGGTGTGTCCAGGGAACGCCCTCTGTTTGAGACCAGTGAGAAGTTGTGTCTGACTTTTTATTATGTCCATAACTCAATTTTTATTTTTGATGTGTAATAGTTTCTAAAAGCCCTTAAAGGGATGGTTCACCCAAAAATGAAAATTCCCTCATCCACTTTATGGACTCAAACACTTCACCCACCCCTCCATCATAGTGGTGAGTAGATAATGAATTTTCATTTTTGGGAGTGGAAACAAATCCTTGATTTGCTGCAAACTGCACCAAAGTTTAATTAGTTCCTTCCTGACCCATAGCACATCCTTCCAGCAGGTTTCCAGGTTTCTCTTAACTTGTCACCACTGTTCCAAAAGCAAAGATTAAAAAGTATAAATACACACACACACACACACACACACATATATGTGTATATGTGTGTGTGTGTGTATTTATATACATCACATACATACACACACACACACACATATATATATATATATATATATATATATATATACATCATACGTATACATACATATACACACACACATATATATATGTGTGTGTGTATATGTATGTGATATATATATATATATATATACGGTATATGTGTGTGTGAATGTATATATATATATATATATATATATATATATATATATATATATACACTCACACACACATATACCGTATATAGACACAAGTACACACATCAGGTCTTTCCATATAAGTTTTAAAAGTGGAGAGAGTGACTCATCGGGCAGGTCACTCCTGAGCTGAGGTGTCGTCACAGTGAAACCTGCGTCTCCTTCAGTCTCTCACCTCAACAGGACACCTGTCAACAGATTCCTGCCGGAGGACACAGACTGTGCAGGCTGGTGTGTGATTCACTGATGTGTTTTGGTTTCAAGCCATCAAGTGCTCCTGGTAAAATCTTAAAAAAGTGCTCTGTAACAAACTAGTCTCCAATAATGTGAGGAGCTGAAAAAAACATTCATAAGCAATGCAGCTGCTGCATTTTGTACACTTAGAGTTTGAGATCGAGACAATAATCTAAACATGAAGATATCAAATTGTTTAATAGTCTCATTGTCTCAAACTCCAGGATTTTAATGGATTCTGCCTGTAAAAGCAGCACAGATGCACTTTTGTTTCTATTTTGGAGCTTGTTTTGTTGATTCCCATAAGTGTTGGGTACCAGACATCTTTTATCATGACTGGTATCTGGTATTTAACCTAGTATGTCTCACTTTAATAACAGTAATAATAATCTGTATTTGGAAATAAATAAATAAATACTAGGAAATGTGCCTTCACCTTCACATGCTGATTAAAAACACATATATCACAAATGCAATATGCAGTACAGACAACAATGACCTTGATTCTAGTGGGAATGGTTTTTACAAATTTAACAAAATTGTTGTATTTAGTAAGAAAGACTATTGGAGAATGTTCGTGGTTGCTCTGGCAACCCTGCAGCATCTTCCCTAGGACATCCGAGAGCTTCTGCATCCGTTCAGCTTGTTATTGACTCACTTCAGCATCACAGATTTTCATTCTATGTTATGATTACAAGTACTTCAAGTACCTGGAAGTGTACCACAACGATAAACTGGACAGAACTAAGAACATGGACAGTCTCTCCAAGAAGGCCCAGAGCCGGCTCTCCTTCCTGAACCAGCCTGAGTCCTTCAACACGTCGGATGATGCTGCTCTGTGTCTCTGTGGTGGCCAGTGCTACAGACGCCAACAGGCTCAACAAACTGATCCAGGAGGCAGGTGATGCTGTGGGGGTGGAGCTGGACTCTCTGACTGATGGCGGTGTCAGAAAGATGGATGCTGTCCATGTTACAGATGATCTGGGACAATGTCTCCCACACACTCCAGGACGTGCAGGAGCACAAGAGAATATTCAGCTACAGACTAAGTCCACTGGGCGTCACAGGAAGTCACTCCTGCCTGAGAGTCAGACACTCTGAGTTAATGGATGCTGATAGTAAGTTATCTTCTGTATACCATATTTTATTATACACTGTATTTGGACATATTTTTCTTTCTTGTATTTTTGTACACATACTTTTAATTTTATATTCTTACCTAAATTTTGTATTTCTATTTATTGTTGTTATGGTCTGTAAATTATTAGTATTTCTGATTCTGAATTACCTCCTGAAGACAAACTGAGGTACATGTGATCCAGTGCAGGTCAGCGTGTGCATCTCACTGCAGTCTGTAGACGCAGTGGGTGGCAGTGAGCACGTAGAGGTGGTTTAATCTGAGACATACCTGGGGGGCCGACAAGAGGCTGCAGCCCACAGCCTCATAAACACAATGACATTTCAAATATTAGTTATGCATTATTGTATTTTGAATGAATATAAGTCATTTAGCAACAGTGGAAGAAGTTTTCAGAAACTAAAGAAGCCCCTTCCTTGGTCCCTGCTGTTACTCACTGTCCTGTGGTGAAGACTGTGCACTAACACTCAGAGCAGTCACAAACACAAGGAGACACTTCAGCTGCAATTTTGCTGTCATGGAAACACTTTCATAATAACTCAGGAGGAAATGGTCTGTGGACTCTCACCAAAACTGGCCAACATGCAAACAAACCTTTATAATTTTAACTAACTAAACATTTTCACAAAATCTAATGTCATACCATCATCATTTTGTATTTCATTTGATCATTTCGCACATTTCTATCTTACTTTATTTTATGGATATTTTTTTAATCCTTCAACTTATTTTCCTAATTTTAGACACAGACTTTAATACAGACTTCATCCTTTTTAGTGCTTCTACTTCTTCTATTCTAGTCTTTTAAATCTCTTTTACTTTGCTCGAAATTCATTTTAAACTGATTTTAAATTGATTTCTTGTCCCTGCACAGCGCCTTGAATCTACCTCTGTGTAGAAAATGTGCTTTATAGATAAAACTGCCATGACTTTAATGAACTGTAATAGAATATCATGTGTTTTAAACGCATGTAAAGCCTTGATTTAATTGCATGTGATGTAATTGTCATATATGAATATATTTGTATGTGTATTTAAACTCCTATGCTTTCTGGCAGATGCCTGTGCCTGACATCCTGCACATTCCTGCACAGCCAACTCACTGAAGTCAGAAATAACCACGAGCATGTTTTCTGCGCACGGTCTCATCCGTGCAGGCTCATCCCTCTTTATTGACCTCTGTACATTTTAGTGGAGCGCACTCTGGGGTTTGGAGGCTTCAGGCCCAAATGACCTTTACGATTTCACCAA